TGCAGGCAGCTTCAGCATTGGATGCGCAATTTAGGTTGCTGCAGCGCACTAGGTTGGTTGCTCTCCCAGATGTCCCGAGGCTGCCAAGTTTTGGTTATAGGGACCTGTACTTGGTGGCATTAGGCGCCTCAACTTTGGTTTCGTCCGCGCCCCCTTGTCCTTTCCCTGCTGCTGTTCGTCCTGTTCATCCTTCTACTGACCCTCCCACAGCTCCCTCCCACCCCACCCCCATTGCTCTCTCCCCCCTCACCCCCATTGCTCTCTCCCCCCTTACCCCCATTGCTCTCCCCCCCCACCCCCATTGCTCTCTCCCCCCCACCCCCATTGCCCTCTCCCCCCCCACCCCCAATGCTCTCTCCCCCCCCCCCCATTGCTCTCCCCCCCCCCCCCCCCTCTCTCTCCCCCCCCCCCCCCCTATTGCTCTCTCTCCCCCCCTATTGCTCTTTCCCCCCCCCCTATTGCTCTTCCCCCCCCCCGCTCTTGCTCTCCCCCCCCCTATTGCTCTTTCCCCCCCCCCCCTATTGCTCTTTCCCCCCCCCCTATTTCCCCCCCCCTTTGCTCCCCCCCCTATTGCTCTTTCCCCCCCCCTATTGCTCTTTCCCCCCCTATTGCTCTTTCCCCCCTTATTGCTCTTTCCCCCCCCCTATTGCTCTTTCCCCCCCCCCTATTGCTCTTTCCCCCCCCCCTATTGCTCTTTCCCCCCCCCCTATTGCTCGCTCCCCCCCCCCCCCCTCTCCCCCCCCCCCCGCTCTCCCCCCCCCCCCCCTGCTCTCCCCCCCCCCACTGCTCCCCCCCCCCCCCCCCCCCCTGCTCCCCCCCCGCTCCCCCCCCGCTCTCCCCCCCCCTCTCCCCCCCCGCTCCCCCCCCCCTCCCCCCCGCTCCCCCCCGCTCTCCCCCCCCCCGCTCTCCCCCCCCCGCTCTCTCCCCCCCCCCCCGCTCTCCCCCCCCCACCGCTCTCCCCCCCCCACCGCTCTCTCCCCCCCCCCACCGCTCTCCCCCCCCACCGCTCTCCCCCCCCCCCCCACCGCTCTCTCCCCCCCCCCCCACCGCTCTCTCCCCCCCCCACCGCTCTCTCCCCCCCCCCACCGCTCTCTCCCCCCCCCCACCGCTCTCTCTCCCCCCCCCCCCACCGCTCTCTCCCCCCCCCCACCGCTCTCTCCCCCCCCCCACCGCTCTCTCCCCCCCCCCACCGCTCTCCCCCCCCCCACCGCTCTCCCCCCCCCCCACCGCTCTCCCCCCCCCCCCCACCGCTCTCTCCCCCCCCCCCCCCACCGCTCTCCCCCCCCCCCCACCGCTCTCCCCCCCCCCCCCACCGCTCTCCCCCCCCCCCCCACCGCTCTCCCCCCCCCCCCCCCACCGCTCTCCCCCCCCCCCCCACCGCTCTCCCCCCCCCCCCCCCCCACCCCCACCCCCCCCCCCCCGCTCTCTCCCCCCCCCCCACCGCTCCCCCCCCCCACCGCTCCCCCCCCCCCACCGCTCTCCCCCCCCCCCCCCACCGCTCTCCCCCCCCCCACCGCTCTCCCCCCCCCCCACCGCTCCCCCCCCCCCCCACCCCTCCCCCCCCCACCGCTCTCTCCCCCCCCACCACCGCTCTCCCCCCCCCACCGCTCTCTCCCCCCCCACCGCCCCCCCCCCCACCGCTCTCCCCCCCCCACCGCTCTCCCCCCCCCCCACTCTCCCCCCCCCCCACCGCTCTCCCCCCCCCCCACCGCTCTCCCCCCCCCCCCCCCCCCCACCGCTCTCCCCCCCCCACCGCTCTCCCCCCCCCCACCGCTCTCCCCCCCCCCCCCCCCCCCCCACCTCTCCCCCCCCCCCCACCGCTCTCTCCCCCCCCCCACCGCTCTCCCCCCCCCCCCCACCGCTCTCCCCTCCCCCCCCCACCGCTCCCCCCCCCCCCCCCCACCGCTCTCCCCCCCCCCCCGCTCACCCCTCCCCCCCCCCCCGCTCTCCCCCCCCCCCCCCGCTCTCCCCCCCCCCCCCACCGCTCTCCCCCCCCCCCCACCGCTCTCCCCCCCCCCACCGCTCTCCTCCCCCCCCCCACCGCTCTCCCCCCCCCCCCACCGCTCTCTCCCCCCCCCCCACCGCTCTCCCCCCCCCCCCCACCGCTCTCCCCCCCCCCACCGCTCTCCCCCCCCCCCACCGCTCTCCCCCCCCCCACCACCGCTCTCCCCCCCCCCCACCGCTCTCCCCCCCCCCACCGCTCTCCCCCCCCCCCCACCGCTCCCCCCCCCCCCCCCGCTCCCCCCCCCCCCCGCTCTCCCCCCCCCCCACCGCTCTCCCCCCCCCCCCCACCGCTCTCCCCCCCCCCACCGCTCCCCCCCCCCCCCCACCGCTCTCCCCCCCCCCCCACCGCTCCCCCCCCCACCGCTCTCCCCCCCCCCCACCGCTCTCCCCCCCCACCCCCCTCCCCCCCCCCCCCTCTCTCCCCCCCCCCCACCGCTCTCCCCCCCCCCCACCACCTCTCCCCCCCCCCCCGCTCTCCCCCCCCCCCCCCCCCCCCCCCCCCACCTCTCTCCCCCCCCCCTCCCCCCTCCCCCCCCCCCTCCCCTCCCCCCCCCGCTCTCCCCCCCCCCCCCACCGCTCTCCCCCCCCCCCCACCGCTCTCCCCCCCCCCCCACCTCCCCCTCCCCCCCTCCCCCCCCCCCCCCCCCCT